ACAAGGGCTCCCCCCCCCCCCTCCGTCTCCGGCTCCCATATATATCTATAGCCACCACTCACCCGTCTGTATCAGGAATGAAAAAAATACCTTCATTTTTCTCTCTCTAAACCAATTTCCGGCTCGACTTCGGCAGGTGCGTTCGGAGCGAACTGCATTTGATTTCTTTGCAATCAATTTGACTGAATCTTAGAATAATCTCAGTTTGTGTTTCTTTAATCACGACAGTAATAAACAATAATTTTTCAAAAAGATTTGCATTCGCTCGCTGATCGCCGCGGGATTTGGATTGGATCTGCAGCGTATAGTCGTACTAGTATGTGAGACAACTTTGAAGCTTCTTTGATTGTTTGGATTTTTTAAAAAAATCAATCATGTAGCGTTGTTTATGATTTTGATTCGTTCGTTTTTTTTTTTTGTAGATTAATGTAGATTATTGTTGATGCTTGTCGTACGCGGATTCGGTTTTCTGATTGTTTAATTCTCTCGATTTCTGTGTCTACAAAACTGAGTGTTTTTTAGGCGTGTTTGGTTGGGACTCTAGTTCTTCTGCTGTAAGGATGATAAATATGATTGTGGTTTGATTACCTTAATTATGTGAATGAGATTCTATTATTTTGAGGTGTTGTGCTTAGTTAGAATTCGGAAAAAAATCATATGGTAGAGAGTTAAGTAGTTTGCTGGGTTGCAGGACATTCTAAATCTACTCGAGCAGTTAAAATTAAAGCATCTGTGATCAAATTTGATGGTTCTTATTGGAAAGCGATATTAAATGAAACCCGGTTATTCAGGATGGTGTGGACAGGGAATTTAAGCGCTTCAACTACTATGACATAATGGGGTTAACATAATTGTTGTGGTTTATAGATCTTTTGAGGCCAATTATTCTATGATTGATTTGTTGTATTATTAGTCCTTGAACTAGTAGGTCTATATGTCTTGTAGAGAGGAGAATTTTTTGTTTGTTTGTTGTTATTTCGCTGGGTGTAGAGTAAATGAGTTATGAATGACTTGTGCAGTTGAAAATATTATAAATGGTTTTCCTCCTTAAATGAATAATACTCACTGCTAGTTTCTCTCTATTATAGTTAAGATTCTGGGCATGGGCTCTGCTTCAGTTGCTGATTTAATAGAGGCATCCTCTGGCGTGCACTTTTCTGGACGTCTTATTGATAGAAAGCAACAAAATGGACATACAAGGAGATTGATGTCAGAAACTGAAAATTTTCATAAACAACCTTTTGTCATTGGCAAGTATTTTCATGCTCTACATGCTTGATATCTTTGTCTTGGATATATGAAAGATGCTTGAAACTGACGTTTATTTCCGAAGAAAGTGACGTGTGTCCTAAATTTTTAGCTGGTAACTGTAATGATGCGTGATATTGTAATTTGTTTGGTAGGTAACAGTAACTGACGTTCATTCCCTTTTTTCTTTCATCTTTCCCCCTTTTTAACTGATTGAGAAAACTCAAAATGACGTCAAGGGTCCAGCTATAATCAATTATGTCATCTTTAATTTGTTTTTTTATGTTGTTGGTGGGCGTGGCAATCTGTTATTTTTGAACAAGGGTTTCACTCATCTATTTTGTTATATTCTACTTTAGCATCATCTTTATGACATTCTTAATGTACTCTGTAACTTTGAGTTCTCCCAGCATACTCAAATTAATGGGTTTCTTTGATCTTCAATGTGTATAGCTTACAAATCTTCTTTCTCTTGAAGGGGTTGCTGGTGGTGCGGCCTCTGGAAAGACTACAGTTTGTGATATGATCATTCATCAACTTCATGACCAGCGAGTTGTTCTTGTAAACCAGGTAATTTTCCCGATGGAAATTTCATATACTGGTGGTGAACATCAGAAGTAATGTGTTAGATTAATTACCTTTAACTTGAAAATCTGAGCTGCGAAAAAGGAGAATTTGAGAACATCAGCTGCTTGGAATTAATCTTAATTCTAACCACCCTCCTATATATATTGACACCTTATTTATTTATTTATTTTTTCTACTTAATTTATACCACCTTTTGCCACTTGGCTCTATGGAGCATGGAGGGCAATCACAAGTGAGGATTTAAATCTGATGAGCTTCTGGCACTGATATTGTTATTATATGTTTGTCTTATAGGATTCTTTTTATCATAATTTATCTTCCGAGGAACTTACACAAGTACACGAATACAACTTTGACCATCCCGGTAAGTTTAATTTAATGTTTCCATTACCTTAGAATAATTGAATAATTCCTCGGGCTTGATGCTAATATGCTCTTGATGGCATATTCTTCATTGGAAGTTACAAATTGTTCGTTTAAAATTTTTGCATCTTCCATGTATTCCTGTCATCTATTTTACTTAACTCATCTGCCATGTATTCTTGTTCGTTTAAAAATTTGAACATTCTGGTTGCATTAGTTTTACAGTTGTTACAGTTGATACTCATATCCTTTATGCAATATTTAGAGATGCTTCTAGTTTTTACCCTTTGAAAAGCTTGAATGCTAATGTTTTCCAAGTTGTACTCTTAATAATGGTCTGAAGGACTTTCTAATGATCAGGTTATATGTACTGCATGAGTTTGGTAAATACAGTAGCTGTGTTCTGGATTGGGGTGTGAAAAACTGATGAAACGCTCCTTTCTGATGTAAAATTTCTTGTTATCAGATGCATTTGATACAGAGGAACTTCTAAGCTCAATGGAAAAACTGAGGCATGGGGAGCCTGTAGATATTCCAAAATATGACTTCAAGAGTTATAATAATAATGTGTTTCCACCAAGAAGGGTATGGAAATTAGACATAACTGCCATTCTTTCGCTGCAATTGAAATGTTATTTATGCTTTTTTGGCTTCTAGATTTTTTTTTCTGATTTCGCATTACTATCATGAAAATAGATTCTCAAGGTGCCGTCATATATCTTTAGGGCACTAAGACATGCCTGTACAATGAATTTGATTCTTCTCTTCTACTCTGTGGGTTTTGAGAATTGATTGTGATCTGGGAGACATGAAAGTTTGTAGAAAAGAGACCTATACAATAGGTAAAAATTATAAATTGATGAATGCTTGATAGACTCATATATACCTTTAAAACATTGGTAATTTTTATGTAAGCTTTAATTAATTATTATTATTGGAAGGTGAAAGCATAGGTGTTGCTATTTGAATTATAATGGGGGAGGTGTTTGATATTATGGATGATTTTCTTATTCGCCTTGCTTGTGTTGTCTAGTCAATATCTTATATGACACTCACAAATAAAACCAGCATATATGTCATGGCATCACGCATTTCCTTTTTAATATTTTTGTTCTACAGACACAGTTACTGTCTAATTCTCATTTGCAGGTTAACCCTTCGGATGTAATCATTTTGGAAGGAATTCTTGTTTTCCATGACCCTCGCGTTCGAGAACTGATGAATATGAAGATCTTTGTTGATACAGGTCTCTATGCTCTGTCCTTACTTTCGAATGTGCTGTTTCCATTTTTCTATTAGCTTTTGAGACTTTTTGGATCTGAGATTAGGTCATAAAGGTCCTATGGCTTTGTCTCTACTTGTAAATGTTGTTTCCCACCATTCTAGATAAAATTATTAGCTCTAGAGACTATCAGGTCTGTAATGAAGTATTTTCTTTGTGGACTATGCATGTATTTGGGTGGAGATGGTGGCTGAGATAAAAGTATCAACGTTCTCATTAACATTGAGACAATAAGGCTTCACTTAGTTTGTAGTTTAAGAAATGTTTTATATTTTTTTCAGGTACTTTGATTACTACCATTACAAAGATCATGCATTGGAAAGGTTTATGAAAATTGTGGAAACAGTTTTTGGATTCAATTCCAGAGAACAAATGGAAAATATATAAATTTTGTTCTGTTTTCAAAATTTATTTTCTTGCTCTATAAATTATTATATTCCTATTTCTTTATTTAAACGAGTCTGATTTAATAAAGTAACTTAAAATAATATATTATAATATTTGTGGATATATTTTTAAAGTAAACTAAATAGTTCTAGCTAAATCGGTGGGAGAGAAAGTGAGTTAATCTTATTATTTAACTTTCTTAATTTTGTCTAAATTTTTTCAAAGAACTGTGTCAATAAAATCTTCATGTTATTAGTTAGTTAAAAAATTCTGCAACCAAACATACTTTTCACAGGCTCCAGTTTCCTTTCATTTATCCTGATAACCCTTTGTTCTATCATAAACCAGACATTTTTCAATGGCCCATCCAAAATTTGGGGAAATATTGAACCTACTGTGTTGAATAATTGCTTCACATTTTATACTTTTCAGTGCAGATGCTGATGTTCGTTTGGCGAGAAGGATAAGGCGTGATACAGCGGAGAAGGCTAGAGACATAGCTACAGTACTTGATCAGGTTAGTAGTTTGTGCCATCTAATATTCACAGAAGGTTAATAGTACATGCTGTATTATTTTTTATTTGTAATTGGAGTGCTTCTTTCAGGGATAATGGTTCTCTCAATTTTTACTCACTAGATTTTCCTGTATATGCTAATAACAAATGCGGAAGTTAATCTACGATCTTGTATTGATCCCAATGGGCCAATTACATTTTTTTTCCCACCCGTTTGACTTTCACTGTAATGTGACATCAGAATGAATGTTTTTTAAATTTTCAGTCGTTTCTAAGTTACACTTTTTTTCTTTTAATAATTTTATTATTTTTATTTTTATAATAATGTTTCTTCTGTCCTGTTGATGCAGTATTCAAAATTTGTAAAGCCTGCTTTTGATGACTTCATACTTCCTACAAAGAAGTATGCTGATATCATCATCCCCAGAGGGGGTGATAATCATGTTGCCATCGACTTGATCGTACAACATATTCGCACAAAGCTTGGTCAGCATGATCTTTGTAAAATATACCCTAATTTATACGTCATCCAGTCAACATTTCAGGTATGTGACCGTCTATTGTGTGTTTTGCTACTAGCTTAAAGAATGCTAAATGTAATTTATTATTATTATTATTATTATTTTGCATTTTGTATTTTTCTTTTGTTGGGGATTAATACTGCTGCATTTTATTGTTTCTTCCAGATACGAGGCATGCATACATTAATTCGAGATGCTAAAACTACAAAGCATGATTTTGTGTTTTATGCTGACCGATTGATTCGTCTGGTAACTTCTGTGCCTACAGAAACCTTTATTCTATCAGTGGTCAACTTTGCTTATAGAAATTATCCTATAAGTTTCTGTTTGGTTTTTATTCCCTGTCATAAGCATGACTTCCTGACCCATGATTTAGGTTGTTGAACATGGTCTGGGACATTTACCATTTACAGAAAAGCAGGTGACCACTCCAACTGGTAAGCCAGTTATCTTTTTATCAATGTATTTATGTCATTAAGGCTTCTGGTATTAAATGTCCATTTATTAATCTGTTTTAAGGATGTCAATCTATGCAATTAGTTACTACTGTATGCCTTTTTATTTTTTTTTTCCAAATTTAAATGCCTTTTTATTATTTTTTAAATAATCAAATCTGAATGATTTACATTATGCTCTCTGGCATCTATGCTGTAGTTACCAAAGACATTTTTGTTCAATGAAAAAAAAAAAGTTCTTTTTAGTAAAAAAAAAAACATTAAATTATATATTTAGTTGAACTATCAAGTTTGTTTGTGTTTATTTAGTCCCTAAACTTTTAGAAGTGTCAATAGGTCTTCAAACTTTTAACTTTGGGACGAATAAGTCCCTAAATTTTAATTTTGTCTTATAGGTTCTTAAACTTTCAATTTTGTATCTAATGGACTTTAATGTATTCAATTTCTTTAAAATATTAATTGATAATTTAAACTATTTGATATAAAGTTGAATTTTGTGTCAGTGATCCTCAAATTTCAATTTCAAGTCTAGTAGGCTGTAGGTACGAGAATTAAAAAATATGTTAGAATAGTACTTTTCAAAGTTCAGGCCCTTATTGACACAAAACAAAAAATTTAGAGACCAAATAGACACAAATGTAAGAGTTTGGACTAAACTTGTAATTAAAAAAAATTTATTTCTAAAGCTTCATTCTTAAGGTTCTAGGTGTACACTGTCATGTTTTTCTTCTCTGCATGAACGTTGGCATTTGGGTTGGAACCAACAAATTATATTATGTTACAAGAATTTGACAACTCATCCGTCCATATAAATAAGTCTTTGCTTGCTTGACCCAGAAATCATAATAGATTAACTTTCAATTAGCCATCCCTTAGTAGTGATTCTCTCGTCAAGATATGCATTGAGCTCAATGATGATGCAGCATGCTTCGTAACTCAATTGTTCTCATTTGGATTTGTTCTCTTGTTGAGATATGATGTTATACACTTAATTATACGTTGTGGAATAAATTAATTGTTGTTACAACCTGAAAGTTTTTGGTGTATACACAGGATCTGTGTATAGTGGCGTTGATTTCTGCAAGAGGTTATGTGGTGTCTCTGTCATCAGGAGGTTAGACGTACATCCAAATTCTTTTTTCAGCTTTGGCATTTTTCTTCTATTACTTTATTACCATAATGTTTGTTTCATTCCTCCAAGAGGGTATCTTTTATTTCTATAGATATTCTGTTTTTATCTTGATTCTTATAACATTGTCAAGTATTTTACACTGGTTTCAGTGGTGAGAGTATGGAAAATGCTCTTCGGGCATGTTGTAAAGGCATAAAAATTGGAAAGATTCTCATTCATAGGGAAGGTGACAATGGCCAACATGTATGTTCTTGTTCTCCTGTCGTCTTTGGTTTCGTTCCTAAGAAATAATATAAGTACGCAATTTCCATACATGACTGACATGGTTCTGGTGTTGTACGCTTCGTGCAGTTAATTTATGAAAAATTACCCTCAGATATCTCCAATAGGCATGTATTACTTTTGGATCCCATCCTGGGCACAGGTTAGCCGTTCTGTGATATTAGCTCATTCTCTTATAAGTTTTACAATTTATTTTTCCTGCTTCTGCTCTCTTTAATTTCTAATTTTTAAGCATTGTCATGGCCATTGATTACTCTCATGTGATCAGTGGCATGAAATAAGCCGGTTGTGAGGGGTATGAACAAAAATTTGACAATTTTCTACGTAGTTAATCACAATTAATTATACTTAATTATCTAGCGCGTGCGTAGGTCTGATAATCTTGACATTTCTTCAGGAAACTCGGCGGTGCAAGCTATTTCTTTGCTCATAAGTAAGGGTGTTCCAGAGCCTAATATTATATTTCTCAATCTCATATCAGTAAGTTTACGAAGTGTTAGTGAAATTCATTTCTACCGAAGAGCCTGTTTTCTCTATTTTCTTATGGAAATATCACTTTCTTCCTCACCTTAGGCACCTCAAGGCGTACATGTGGTGTGTAAACGCTTTCCAAGAATAAAGATTGTGACATCTGAAATTGAGATTGGCCTGAATGAAGATTCCCGTGTGGTGCCTGGTATGGGTGAGTTTGGGGACCGGTATTTTGGAACCGACGATGATGAACAAGTGCGGGCCTCTCCACAGTAGTTGCTCTTTCAAGTAATAAAACACCCCCACGAACACAAAAATCATAACCAGTCGTGGGTTGTGGAGAGAGAGAGATCTTCTTGCCTCAAAATAATGTGCTTAGATTATAGGATGCGTTTCACGAGGTCTTTAGAAAGAAATTATGACTCATAAGTGCCTTATATGGATACAAACGCCACGCCCCATATTATTATTATTACTATTATGATTAATATTGATTATTATTACTATTCTTATTCATTGGCTGTGTAGTTCACTTTTGATTTGCCTATGCATGCCTTGCTTAACTCTATTCAGACAGATTCTGAATATGCCTGATTTCTGTTTAGCTCTATACTCTAATCTTTGAATCGTTCTCGAGGTCGGAGCAACGTAGCTGATAGCTACATTGTTTTATACCGTTAAATGTACGAGAGAAATTTTAGAATGATTGTTAGAAGCATTTAGATTTTGAATAACAGGAGTTTGAGTTGTGTTCATGTACATCGCGGGATGGATAATTGAGGGAATGAGTTGCCACTTGGCTTAGAAAGCCACCACTCATTCCTTTATCCAACCTCGATAACCCCCTTTAGGCTAACTATGTGACACGTGTCCTTGCATTTGCATGGGCTCCAATTCTGTCAGGCTATTCCATGACCAAGCTTATCTATATAGTTACAGTCTTCTGCTTTTGCTCTTTCGCCCTTCACCTTCCCATCTCTAACCATGTCTGCCTTTGTTGGAAAGTATGCAGGTACGCCCCTTTCTCTTTCTCTAACCAATAACAGTTTGTGTTGTGATGTGTTCTGAAAATGGTGCAATTTTCTCTTTGTACAGATGAGCTGATTAAGAATGCCAAGTTCATTGCGACCCCAGGGAAGGGCATATTAGCAGCTGATGAGAGCACCGGCACAATTGGCAAGCGGCTGGCTAGCATAAGCGTTGAGAACGTGGAGTCCAACCGCCAAGCCCTTCGTGAGCTTCTCTTTACCTCTCCCGATGCTCTCTCTTATCTCTCAGGTGTAATCCTCTTCGAAGAGACCCTTTACCAAACGACATCAGATGGGAAGCCGTTCGTGGAAGTGCTTCAAGAGAACAATGTGATTCCAGGCATCAAAGTGGATAAGGGCACTGTGGAGTTGGCTGGCACCAATGGCGAGACCACAACACAAGGGTTTGACTCTCTTGGTGCTCGCTGCCAACAGTTTTACAAGGCCGGTGCTCGCTTTGCCAAATGGCGTGCTGTTCTTAAGATTGGCGGTTCTGAACCCTCTGAGTTGTCTATCCAACAGAACGCTCAGGGCTTGGCTCGCTATGCCATTATCTGTCAGGAGAATGGGTTGGTACCCATTGTGGAGCCTGAAATCCTCACTGATGGCCCACATGATATCAACAAATGTGCTGCTGCTACCGAGATTGTGCTGGCTGCGGTTTACAAGGCGTTGAGCGACCACCATGTGCTTCTTGAAGGAACCCTCCTCAAGCCCAACATGGTCACCCCTGGCGTTGGTAGCCCAAAGGTGTGTGATAATTCTCTACCTTGTTCATTTCCTTGTTTTCACTGTCGGATTAAAATGATGTTATGTGATGACAGGTAGCTCCGGAGGTGATCGCCGAGTACACGGTGGCTGCACTTCGCCGGACGGTCCCAGCCGCCGTGCCTGGAATAGTCTTCCTGTCCGGAGGACAAAGTGAAGAAGAAGCCACACTTAACCTCAATGCCATAAACAAACAGGAAGTGTTGAAGCCATGGACTCTTTCCTTCTCATTTGGGAGAGCATTACAGCAAAGTACGCTCAAGATATGGAGTGGGAAGACGGAAAACGTTGCGAAAGCTCAAGCAGCCTTCTTGGAGAGGTGTAAGGCCAACTCGGAGGCCACTCTCGGCAAGTACGGCGGCGGGAGTGGCGGCGGTGGCGGGTTGGCCTCCCAAAGCCTCTACGAAGCTGGTTACAAATACTAAAGTTAACTTATTCATCATTATTGAGACAAGACCGTGTATGTGCCTAATGTTTATGTTCATAGTGTGCTTTTTCTCCCATATAATAATTTGCACTATGACTTTTTGTTAAACTCGATACTCACATACTTGCATGAGTATTGAGGAAAAGATCGAAGCAACAATGTTGTTTCAAGTTTGAAGGTGGCAATAACGACCATGACGGTTTCAAGAAGTTTGAGTTTGATTAAAATATGAGCACAAATAGGAAAAATACGTGGATGAACAACAAAATGCATAGAATACAATGAACTAGTCGTACCTGACCATGTTAACTCTATCCATGATCTTACAAAGGAGGAAGATAACAGTGATGTTGGAGAGGAAGAGGATAGTGACTTGACGACAGTGATTCTAAAATCTTTGCACCTGTTGCAATGTACCGAGGACAAATCGAACTTGAGATGTAAATTCGTTTTGTCTCTACCAAGGACCAAGTAGAATCCACTCTAGTCGGACACTGAAACCTCTCTCTCTTTTAAAACTTGGAAGGGAAGCTAGGCGGGGTCGGTGGATTGTGAGATCACATCTTGGTTGGAAAGGGGAACAAAGCATTCCTTAAAAGAGTGTAGAAACTTCTCCCCGTATTAAAACGTGGAAGGGATCACACCTTGGTTGGAGAGGGGAACTACCTCTCCCTGTATTAAAACGTGGAAGGGATCACACCTTGGTTGGAGAGGGGAACTACCTCTCCCTGTATTAAAACGTGGAAGGGATCACACCTTGGTTGGAGAGGAGAACGACCTCTCCCTGTATTGAAACGTGGAAGGGATCACACCTTAGTTGGAGAGGGGAATGGACACCTTGGTTGGATAAGGGAACGACCTCTCCCTGTATTGAAACGTGGAAGGGATCACACCTTAGTTGGAGAGGGAAATGGACACCTTGGTTGGATAGGGGAACGGAAGGGAAGCTCGGAAGAGTATAATATCTATGAGGTTAACTTTTTTTTTCACCAAAATTCTACGTTTTAAATAGACCTATTAAAAATTAAAAAAAATCTACTAAAAAATCTTTGAAAATCAGCTCAATAAAAATCTATTACACAAAATTCTACGTTTTCAAATTTTCATCTCAAATTATCTTTCACCTAATTTGGATTCGCCCATAATTCTGGACTTTCTGCTCTGCTCAACCTTCAACGCCTTTCAAATCGATCTGTCGAGGAGGTTCTTAGGGTTTCTCCTGATTTTGTTGTTGTTCTTGGCCTTCAACAGAGCTTAACGCCTTCTAGAAATAATGGTTCTTTGAATCTGTTGAAGTTGATGTAGAAGAAGGCGCTTGGGTTGCTTGTGGAATCCGAAAAAGGCAATGGCAGTGCGGTTTCATCGTCACAAACAGTTGATTCTGTCGAGAAAGTAAAATCAGAATCTAATACTGAGAAATCCGTTGAAGACTCGAAGTCGGAAGATAAAGGAAATCGCAGTTCTGATGTACGAGGAAGTAGAGGGAAGAGAATTAAGGAGAAACTCACTTTAATTTGAAGGCTGTGTCGAAGGAGTTAGAAGGCATAGGCTCGTTGATAATCTGTTGCAAGAAGATTTCCAGAGTGTACTGGACGTCCTAGCCATTTCAGCAAAGACACCTGATGAACTCTGAAGCCAATGGAGAAAGGTTCGTCATCACAACTCACTTGAAAGAGTTTTTCCTTCAATTTTTCTGTGATTTCTGTGGAGTATTTATGCTATAATCTTCATAATGTTAGGCTTAGATGTTGAAGTTATGGTGTCAATGGATCTGTAAACAATCTTTTCATAGGTAGAAAACAGAAAGAGAACAAAACTCATCATTTTCCAATGGAATTTGTGATTCATTCATTTCATAGGTAGAGAACAGATATAATGTATTTCTCTATCGTGTGGGTTTTGATTAACAAATTCTGCTAAAATGTCCTGAGATCTAAGTTGGCCTTTGTTCTTACTGCCTCCAAGCTCGAATGTACTTGTTCTTCATTGGAACTTGGGTAAGTATCTTATGCATTCTTTTACCGAATTATGGCAAAATCTAAAGCTCAGGGACCTTCTAGCCATTGAATTTGGGGTTTCTTCTCTGTGTAGTTGAACTGGTTGGGGACAGGGGACTGATTTTGATTAAATTGATGGATAAGAAGTATAAAAATGGAGGAAAAAATCTGATTTCATTCAGTTCCATTCTGAACAATGTCAGAATGAATTATTATCCCATCAAACAACTAGAATCAGACATGAAAACACAATTTGAAATCTCAACTTCAGGAATTATCTTCCAATCTTTGCTTTCTCAGCCACTTCAGGCTTCATATTGTGCCTTGTTTAAAAAGAATTCATCAAGAAGATCAGTTGATGTTTCAATAGGAATTCTCAGTGTTCTCTTTATTTTCTTGTCATGTGAATCGCCTTCGGTTTAGATTTTACTAGGTTTTAGGGCACGGTATTTTCTTTTTATGTTTCAAGTTCTCTACAAGCCTAGAGTTGAGATGGCGTTTCTTATTTTTCCTTCCCTTTCTCATGGAAAATGTCTTTGATTTTAAGATTGAGCTATCTCGTCATGCACTCTCCATCCAGCGGTTGTTTTCGAGAGTGAGGGAGTCAATTTTTCCCACCAAGGCTCAATCACTAGGAGTATGTATTTTGCTGGTTATTCCCAAATGAGGTACTTGATTTCCATGAACAGGTCAATAACTTCCAGAGATACTCAAGATGGTCAGCTTGTTTTTAAATCAACTATAGTTGATCTTCCCCTTTGGTACTGATGCACTCACAGTTTGAAGGTAGAATGATCAGGATGTTATATTCGCTCTAATTTCAAACCCTTCCAGTAAAGAATTATCTAAACTTTGTATTTCATGCATGGTTTTCTTTTTGAAACATTCATTAGTGGACTTGCTTAATGATGGGAACTTTGATTGGATTAATTGATAACAAATGGTATAGTGGAGTTGGATTATCAGTCAAGGTACCAAATAACAAGCGGTAAATCTAGATCCTTGTAAGGTTTGGATTCAATGGTAGCCATAGGTTATATAATATCTTTATAAAATTCCCAGCAGAAAATGTGGTAGATTGGACAGTGTTCTGTAGCATTAAGCTGGCCTAGAAATCAATAGTTATATAAAGGAAAACATACAAAAATGTTAGTTTGAAAAAAAAAGTTATTGGCAGAAAATCCTCAAGGGATATTTGGTTAATACTCACAAGTCACGCATATTTCCCCTTAGCCATTGATGATGAGTGCTGTAATTGTCCAAGCCCACCGCTAGCTGATATTGTCCTATTTGGACTTTTCCTTTCGAGCTTCCCCTCAATGTTTTTAAAACGCGTCTGCTAGGGAGTGGTTTCCACACCCTTATAAAAAATGTTTCGTTCTCCTCCCCAACTGATGTGGGATCGCAAGAATAGCAGGGAAAAAAAGGGAAAAAAAATGAGGTTGTTATTACTCATCAAGAACTAAAATGTCAAATTGATATTGCCAAATTACAGCAAGAGCAGGCAGAGTTGTTAAACTGAAGATTTTTCTTCATCAGTTGTGCTTCTGTAGTCTATATGTTGGTTGATCCAAGGCTCTTATGCGCTAGTTGTTAAAGAAGAATCACCTAAAAAGCTCACACACAACCCTAAAAATGGTGTAAACCATGTCAAACAAGATGAATGGTGTTCAACTGATATTTCAGATCTTTCCAGACTTATATCCATAACTGTGATTTGGACAATGCATATAGAAATATCATAGAAGGTGTGCAACATATATATTTCTGCTTCTTCACCTCTTGGTTCTGCAACTCCGAGCAACTAGAGCGCCAGTTGGTGGACTAGTCATCACCAACTCGCATCGGCTATGCAGCCAGTAAGAGTAATGGACGAAACCCAGTGAAGCTTTGACCTTGAAAGTTCCTCTGATGTTATAGACAATCTTGTTGTTCTGTACCTGTCGTCGAAGTACCAACCCGAAATTCTGTGGCAAGAAAACTAGACTGGATATCAAATGAACAGGTTGTAACCTCACTTCTTTTTTTCTTTGACTGAAGGGCTGGATTGCTTGAGTTGCTATGAGTCGATCCCCAAAGAAGAGCTCTATGTCTGCATTCTCATATCTCACATCGACTCTTTGGTTCGGGTTGGTGAAGTTTGCGAGAAGAGTGAAGTCTCCATTGAGATATTCAGGTGCATCAAAGTAGATGGTGCTGAGGCTTGCATTTGGTATGTCAAACACAGGATTTCTTGGTCTAACAACCAGGAAAATGATCAAAGTGGCAATTCCAAGGAAGATGAGAAGAAGACTAAAAAGTAGACACAGGAATGCAAAACACCATATAATCGGATTCGTTTGGCGTGGCCGAGCTTGCTGTAATAACTGTGGCTTACTATACTTACTAGAATCAATATGATTTGAATTCAGCAGTGGACTATGCGGTTTCATAGCTCGATTTTGCACAACTATTTGCTTCAAAGAAGCCAGCTCTGCCTCTCTTGAAGATGAAGCAGCAGGGTTCTGAGCAGATGCTTGAGAGACTGCAGCAGAGGCAGGGGACAGTACAGTTGTTGGTAGAGCGGCAGCTCTGGACAGCGGCGACCTTGTCGATGGAGATATAAAAGATGGCGGCGGCCGAAGAGGAGGTAGAGGAGGCATCTGAGCAAGGCTGTATGAAGAATCCTCTGAATCAAGGAAGAAGATGAAAGGTGATATCTTTACCAAATTGTTTATATGAACTGTTTAGGTGGTGATTCAAGTAACAAAAATGGGAGCTAAAGAAGCTTTTGAAAAAGGATGGTGGGTCCAATGAGCTGTGTTATTGATATTGGGAAAAGAAGAAGGGAGTGTCCTAAAAGGTGAAATAAAGTTGAAACCAAATAGGTGTCTCTGTTTGAAATGAAGAACTTCAGCTTTTGGAATTGCAATTCCATTAACCAAAACTCCAAAAAGAGAGCCATTTATGTATTTAATCTAATGTATTCCATGTAATCTTAAGGATTATATTGTGTAGTTTTTTTTTTTTTTTTTTTTTTTTTTTTTTTTTTTTTTTTTTTTTTTTTTTT